AAACCAAAAAAAAAAAAAAAAAAAAAAAGGAAGCACTCTCCTCTGAATGGATGCCCATGTTTCAGAAAACTCAGCTTGGGAGTGCAGTCAGGGCTTAGACCAGGTCCCTAGCCAGCACCTTGCTATTTCAACTCCTCTGTGAGCCCACCTGGTATGCCAATGACGTCTTCTATGACAGCACTTGGAAAACTACCAAAGGTGAAGGACCTGGGTTCTTTAACTTTCCAATATGCCTGTAAGATAGAATAAAAATACATTATCAGAAAAACAGACTGAAAATGACAACAATGTTCTATTTGTACTTTATGTGTATGAGTGTGGGAGGGAGAGCTTAGGAAGCCTTGAGTTAATGTGTAAAGAGTAGACAAAGTCCTGAGTGGATGTGTATTGTTTGATATGAGTTGCAACCATGTCAAGGACCCAACATCTCGGGCCCATGAGAATGGCAAAGCCTTACCTTGACGTGAAGCTCAAAGGGTTGGCAAAGCCTTCCTCTGGTCTGAGTGCAAACGCTGACCATGTGTGCCAGTACCAGTTTTTACAAATGATTGACCAGTGTGCTCAAAATCTAGCACCTGCAGCTTCCCCCTTACAGATCTTTACAGCCAGGTCTCCCACAGGCTTCCTACTTTGACTAGCTAACTACTCTGCCCTGTAGGAGACAAGCTAACTCCTCTCCCTGTGTTGTATATTACGAACTGGATGAGGTTCCAGGGTGCTGTGTGATCGGTGACCCTCCATCAGACTGTGCACAGTTCACCTGATTCCAGCTTTTTTCGATGTGTTTCTGTGTGTCCGTCCTTTCTTTATTCTCTTGCAATCCTTATCCATGCTTCAGGGGCCAAACCATGCAGGACACAGCATTAGTGCTTTGCCTGCACATGTAAATGTACTGCATGTGTGCCTGGTGCCCTCAGAGGCCAGGAGAAGGCAGTGATGGCTGTGAATTGCCATGTGAGTGTTGGGAATTGAACCCCAGTCCTCTGCAAAAGCAGAAGGTGCTTTTAACCTGGGCACCATCTCTCCAGCCCCTGACTAATACAGTTTGCTTTCCAGATTGATCAGGCAGGACATCACTGTTAGATATACCCAGTGCAAGAGAACCACGGGAAATCAAGAACTATAAAACCTGGACATGTTACTTTGAAAGTTTATAGAGATTATGTAAAATTGGGATTGTACTCACTTTTTTATTGTTTTTGTAGTCCAACTCCTCACCAGTAGAAACCAGGGGGTGGGGAACCAAATATTTGTTCATTTAGGCTGCCAGCCTTGTGTTACTTGGTAATGCAGGGTCTTGTGTGTTTCTCATTTCTATAACAGAACACCTGACACTGAATGACTCAATGAACAGAGCTTTACTTAGCTCACAGTACTCAAGGCTAAAAGTCTTGAGATTAGGAGGCTGAAAATGTTTGAGTCCTGGATGGTCTTAAAATACATTGTAGCATGCCATGCAGTGGTTGCACATGCCTTTAATCCCAGCACTCAGGAGGCAGAGGCAGGTGGATCTCTGTGAGTTCAAAGCCAGCCTAGTCTACACAGCTAGTTCCAGGGCAACCAGGCCTACACAAAGAAACCCTATCTCAAAACAAAACAATTGTTGTAGCATAATGGAAGAGTAAAAGGAGAAGGGGAGTATGAGCAGAACACATATTCAAGAAGTCCCCAAGGGAGGCGCGAAGCTTTACAACCCATTCCCTGGAGAAATAAGGCAGTGTCTAGAGAAGGACATTAATCCATACAAGGAATCAAATTTCAAAAGTTTTGGTGAGAACAAACTGTAACATGCAGCAGTAGATAACTAAAATAGATTTTACCTAAAGGTAGGATACTGCCATAGCTGGCAATTAAAATGTGGGGACGGCCAGGTCTAGTGGCATAGTCCTGTAATCCCAGCTATTCGGGAGGCTGAGGCAGGAGAGTCATGAGTTCAAGGGCACTGTGGACTAGAAAGAGAGTTCAAGTGAAACCCTGTCTCAAAATAGAAAAATGGCTAGGGATATAACTCAGTATAGAGCACCTGCCATGCATGAGCCCTAGTTTCAAACTCCACTACTGCAAAAATAAATGAATAATAATTAGCCGGGCGGTGGTGGCGCACGCCTTTAATCCCAGCACTCGGGAGGCAGAGGCAGGCGGATCTCTGTGAGTTCGAGGCCAGCCTGGGCTACCAAGTGAGTTCCAGGAAAGGCGCAAAACTACACAGAGAAACCCTGTCTCGAAAAACCAAAAAAATAAAAAAATAAATGAATAATAATTAAATACAAGTCAATTGACTAACTATGGGAAAGGCTTTGGAGCCAGGAGGTGAGTGAACAAAAACAGAGCAGGATGGAAAGAAGTCAAACAGCTGAGCAGTAGAACTCTTGATCTTGAATTTGAGAACTATGCCAGTGAGAGCTGGCACAATGAAAGGAAGGAAGGAGGTGCTCCCAGCAGCTTGGGGAGGTTCTCTAGAAGCTGGAACATGGTGTTCTTAGGTGGTGAAGCTCAGTGAAGCTGTCAGCTGGTGCACTTGTGTGGAAAGTGTAATATGTGCTTAGATGCATACAGTCACCTCGGGAGACTTCCAAACATGGTGGAAGGCATCACTTTGCTTTCAGTAAAATGTGAGAAGAGGGCAGGAAAGTGAGAGGACTGGGGACGTGAGTCTTATCCCTTAGGAAGCCGGAGGTAGGATGGGCAGACATCCTTGAGAACCTAAAGAAGATTCCACCTCCATGGTCTCCCCTCCGCAGGACATTCAATTTGGTGAACAGCTTTTAGCACCTTGATTGTCTAGGAAAATTTCCCATCAGTAGGTTTTTGTATTACCCTCTGAAAAGTGGGGTTCCCCTATAATATTTTGTTAAGATTAAACAAATGACAGCTGCTGTTTTGGTGACCTGACCCCTGAGCTAACCTCCCAACAGGATGGCTGTGTTCATGGATTTACCAGTTTATTCGCTAGTGTTTAATCACCATGAATTTTATTCTTGCTTGTTAACTTGCCTTTTTGTAAATAATGAGTGTTTACCTTGTGAATCAGGGAATTTATGTACAGAAGTTTTTATTTATGATTTAGGGTACAGTATGTGTTTTATGATAACCACATCAGAGTCTGAAAAGAAGCAGATTTTTGATGGGTATGTAGAGTGCGGTTCACTTGTCATACATAAAGTCATCTTACTGTCAAAACTTGAACTTTTATTTTTAAGAACAAAACTACACAAAATTTGAAAGAATGGTATCAACAAATTCTCATATACTCTCACCTTTACGTTTTGTTTGTGTGTGCGTGTGCATGTGTATATGCATATGAGCCATGCATTTGTGCATATGTGAACATGCATCTTTGTGGACATGTATGTATATATATGAATTTATATGTATGAGTAAATGTATATATGTGCATATGCTATGCATGTGTGCATATACATGAATATACATGTATGTGGATGTGTGATTGTATGCATATGTTTATGCCATGAATGTGCACATATGTGTAGATACACGTGTATGGATGTATGTATGTGTACATTTGCATATTGATGTGAGTATAACATGGATGTGTATGTGTGTATATATGCCATACATGTGTGTGTATGAGTGTACATGTGTGTGGATGTTGCATGCATGAATGTGATCATATATGTGAGAATGTTATTTCAGAGGAAGACACAAATAAAATGACCTTTTGCCCTAGATTCTCCGCTGTGTAGCCCCTAAGCTCAAAAACCATCACAGTAAACCAGAAAGCAAATATTCAGCTCAGGAAATTGAATGTTGATGAAATAGCGTTGTGTATAAGAATATTAAATATGTCTAATATCATCTTCACCCTGCATCCCTTGTCCCAACACTCTCCTTCAATGTAATTTTATCTTGAATCCAGGATTGTGTTTCTGTGCATGTTAATCCGGACAACCAGATCAGGACGCCTTCTGTGGGGCTGCGGCTCCGTGTGCCCCTTTGTCCTTTCCTTCTGCCTTGTTCTTTCTGCTTTGCTGCCCCACCACACACAGCACTGGACCTTCCTTGTCATGAGGCATACCCTACAGGGCACAGCCTCTGCCTTAAGGACCCTCCTGGGCATAAAGCCAGTTCCAAGAGGCAACCAGACTGGGGAGTCTGGCCTGTCCCTGCTGAGCTCACGGCCCCCTTAGAGATTCCAAAAAGATCCCAGAGCCTTGAGCTCAGATTCTGGAGCAAAAACCGACTTCTGGGGATAAACTCTTAGCAAGCTATTTCCTGCTCAATGAGGATAAAAAAGATCCTGTTTAAAGGATTAAAAAGCAAATTAAAACAAGATAAACCAAACAGAAACAAATGAACCTAATTGGATTTCAAATGAATAACAAAATCACACTGGAGAGAAGAAAATACTCAAATTAAAAAAAAAAAAAAATTAAAGCCAGGCATGGCAGCTCACACTTGCAATCCTAGCACTCAGGCTCAAGCAAGACGACTGTAAACCTGAGGCCGGGACCTAGGAGACAGCTCACAAACTTGACAAACGGAGTTTAATCCCTGTGACAGACATTGTGGGAGGAGAAAACCAGCTCCTGAGAGCTGTCCTCCGACCTCCACATGTGCACGGCACTGTGGTACCGAAATTACTAGCTTGTAGTTTCAGATGTTAGGCCACATGTACCCACATACACATGTGTCCCTGTGACGACATACAAAATAAGTCAATTAATTATTAAAAATGTAATTTTAAAAGCCTTTTTTTAAAAAAACTTTGAGGCAGCCTGGGATATACTATCAGACCCTAGTTTTAAAAATGAATATGCAAATGAATTAAACCAAGGAACCAGCTGCAGTATTCCATTCTCAGACTGAAACCAGCAGGAAGGCCGAGGGTGTGACGGCATGTGCTTAGCCTGCATAAATAAGGCCTCAGGATTGATCCCCAACACCTACTTAGAACAGATAAATAAAACAAAGAGAACTAAATAGATATTAACTTCTAACTAGACCATTTATCATGACTGTGTGCACTGCCATCCAGAGGCTTTCCCACATTCCTGGGCCCAAGAGCAGCCATTTGAAACAGTGTTGGAAAGAACATGGGCAGTACAGAGTGAACTGCTGACTTTTATCCTAGATGGATGGAGGGAGGGAAGCCAGTGGAGTTTATAACTTGAAAAGATCTCGAAGCTGCAGGCTTCCGGTGCCCCGGCCTGTCTAAATGCCTTTGCATGGGAAAAACCAGAGACTCTGACATACTGTCCTCTCCAGGGGAAGCATGGGAGGGTTCTAAACACCTGTGCCAGGACACGCAAAGAAGTGCTCAGAAAACATTGGGGGTGGGGCCGGAGACAACGCAGTGACCAAGAGAGCACATTGCTCTTTCAGAGGACTCAGGTTGGATCCCCAGCACCCACAACGTCCTCTAGCTCCAACTCCAAAGAATCCAATGCCTCTGGCCTCCTTGGACAGCAAACACACGCACACACGCACGCACGCACGCACGCACACATGCACACTTGTGTTTAAAAATAAATGAGTCTCTTTTTTGTTTTAATTGAGGATCAGAGATAGTAATGACTAGGGAATGCCAAAAGGCACACACCTGGAAAAATCTAGGGCAATTGAAACAACAACGGCAGTATGAAGTTGTGATCCTTTGACTAAATCAGGATTCATGAGCTCACACACATAGTACTTAATTATTTTCCGTCTTAGCCAAGGTGAAGTCCGTAATGAAGTAACTCAAAGCTGCTGGGATGGCAGAAGTGTCTACAAAAGGCACTTCAGGGAGAAGACCAGATCCCAAGCCGTGAGGATGGCAGCAGTTTTTGTTCCCCAGTGTGTCCCCCCCCCGGGGAACAGGACAAAGGACCACAGGGGCCTAGTGTGTTGTCTTGGGGAGGAGGCCTGACCTAGAGACCAGGGCCCACACCACAGGCTGGCCTGCCTCACTTCTGGTGCACAGGGTACCGGGGGCCACAGCCTGTGGACAAGAAAGAAGCAAGCCCAGAGCTGGCTGCCTCTGCTCACCGTGCCCGTCAGTTTTCTACTGCTGACTGACGGGTTATCACCGAGTGAATGAACAAGACCCATAATCCAGGTATAAGTAAGTGGGACCCTCTGCTCAGGGTCAACCCAAGAGGGCATTCCCCTAGGGCTCGTGGTCTTCTGGGCTCGTTAGCTGTTAGCAGTATTTATTCATGTGGTTGTAGGACTGAGGACTTCAACCAGGGCCTTCCATGGAGACCTCAACTCCTACAGGAAGTTCTTGGTTCCTGGCCCCATGGCCTTAGGCATTTCCCCCACAAGGTTGCACTGGCCCCTCCTGACCATCTTTAGCGTATTTCTAAATATTTCACCCTCTGTTACTAGGATCATGTGAGTAGTCCAGACCCACTCAGATAATCTCCCGACAATGACCTCAAGTCAGACAATGGGGGACTGAATCATAGGAGTAATGTCTCCAGAAGTTCACAGTCCTCCCCACAGTCACAGGACAGGCATACACCTGTGTGCACTAGGAGGCTAGAACATTGGAGCCACTGTATGATTCTTCCTCCTACCACTGGGGTGTGGTGATATTGTGTTCCCTAAAATATTGTTCACCCTAATAAGCTTATCTGGGGTCAGAGAACAGAACAGCCACTAGACAGACATAGAGGCCAGAAAATGGTGGCACTCACACCTTTAATCCTAGCCTTCTGGAGGCCGAGATCCATCCGGATCTCTGTGACTTCAAAGCCACACTGGAAACAGCCAGGCATGGTGACTCACACCTTTAATCCCAGGAAGTGATGGCAGAAAGCAGAAAGGTATATAGGGTGTGAGGACCAGGAACTGGCTGGTTAAACTTTCAGGCTTTGGAGAATCAGTTCAGCTGATATCCATTGGGATGAGAACTCAGAAGCTTCCAGTCTGAGGAAACAGGATCAACAGAGGAATTGGCGAGGTGAGGTTAGCTGTGGCTTGTTCTGTCTCTCTGATCTTCCAGCATTCACCCTAATACCTGGCCCTGGGTTTGATTTTATTAATAAGACCTTTTAAGATTCGTGTCACACCGGGGTGACAGGAAGAATTTTATCCTACTGTGGATAATCCCAGTATAGACAATCAGAGTGGCTTATACCCTAAAACTTAGGTCTGTTGTTTAAAATGTTTAAGAAAAAAATTGAAGACAACAACAGG